CAATGATGTTTACTAACAACACGTTAACATTAATTTTAGCTTTAGTAGTGAAATTAAAGAAGTAGAGACAAAAAATAAAAAGCATAAAGATTAAAAGGGAGAACTAAAGCTTCCACCAGTTATCATAGATGATATGAATATGTGCATAGAAAAAGAAAATGCAAATTGTTTAGAGAAAACATACTGGAATTGAAAATAAATTAAGCAAGGCTACTGAATCTATGGTCAATATGAAACTTTTCATTTTGTTCTCATATACTAATGACAAACAATTAGAAAACTCAAACTGGCATAGGATATAATTAAAACAACACTAATACCATAAACTCCATGGGAATAAATTGAATTAATAGTAACCAAACAGCACCACAAAACATTGCTAAAAGCAGTTAAAAAGATCTAAATAAATGGACACATGTACAATATCCATGAACTAAAGTACTAAACATGTTAAAGTTACCAACTTCCCAAAATCAATTTATGAGATAATAGCAATCCAAATTAAAAATTGCCAAATTTCTGTGGAAAACGTTGAAATGATTCTAAAACCTATTTGGAATGAAAAAGTCTATGAACAGTCAAGATATTATTGAAACAGAGAACAAATTGAAGATTATGCATTGCCCAGTATAAATTATTCTGCAAATTAAAATCAAAACAGCATATTTATTCAAATATGGATAAAAAAACAAATAGACATTTAAGAAACAGACCTGTGTATCTATATGAAAATGTAAAGAAAAAGGATCTTATTGTATGAGTTGGAATACTACTAATCAATGAAAATACATAATCAACTACATACAAAATATCGATCAAAAGAATCAATTGCACAAAAATAACATATAAATCATGATACTATTTATACAACATATGAAACAAATAAAATTTTAAACACTAGGCAGTGGTACATAAATACATTATAAAAATATAAAGAAAAAAGGCATATAATTACCTCTAGAAAGGATTGAGAGGGTTTTGCTCAAGAAGAGGTCTTATGTTTTGAAAAAGACACAAAATGTTGAACATAAAGGGAAAGATAAATATATTTGCCTTAAAATAATTTTTATATTAATAATAAAAGATAATTCACAAGGAGGTACATTTAAGAAAATAATTTGTATCCTAAGAATGTAAAGTAAGTCCCACAAATCAATAATAAAATGACAGAAAACTCAAAAAAGCTGAACAGGAATTTGATGAGAGGATTCCCAAATACCTTAAAGGCACAGAAAAATATGGTGAGCCTTTTTAGATATCAGTGAAGGGAAACTAAATCCAAAATGAGATTCATATATGTGTTGATTAGATAATCTAACAATAGAAACTATGATTATACTATTAGAATGCAGGCGAGCAGGACTCTCATCTATTCCTCTTGGCTATGGAAGTTGAAACAGCTGCTTGGAACACTGTCATTTTTTACTTTGGTTCCACATAACCAAAGCTTTTGATCAATTACACATCTAGGTGTATTCACTTTAGAAATGCACGTGTGTGCGCGCACACACACACACATACACACACCAAAAGTCATATAGAATAATGTTCAAAACACTCTTTTTTTGGGGGGTTGGGGGTGGGAAGATACTGGGGATTGAACTCAGGGGCACTCAACCATTGAGCCACATCCCAGCCTTGTTTTGCATTTTATTTAGAGACAGGGTCTCACTGAGTTGATTAGCACCTGAGGCTGGCTTTGAACTCACAATTTTTCTGTCTCAGCCTCCCAAGCTGCTGGGATTACAGGCATTTGCCAACATACCCGGTGACATTCTTAATCATAGTAGTCCCCAAACTAGTAACAATATAAATGTTCTTTGACTAGTAAGAGAAAAGTAAATCATGTGTGTGGTCACAGGATAGAATAGAATACCACAACAACATCGAGTGAACTGCAGTTACATGCTATGTCATGTATAATTCCTCCTAAATACAAAGGGCCTTGAGATGGTCAGTTATTGGTCATCCATTCCATTTATGGATCAGAAACATGATTTTTAAAAATGTAAAATAAAATAGGAGGCAATTGCCGCAGTCTGGCTGGGCACACATGCCGCAGTCTGGCTGGGCACACAGTCACGAGCCACCACACAGCTTGTAGATTCAAACAGCAACTCTTTATTCCAGAACTCACACCGGCACTCTACAAACACGTTCTGGGGAAATCCACGTTCTCTGCCCAAATCCAGGTTCTCTGCCCAAATCCACCTCCACTGGGCTTCTATCTCCAAAATATACTGTCTAAATCCCGTGAGAACTCAAGGGGAACTCAGGCAGCAGGATACGCCCTATTCCCAGCAGGAATAATCTTAAACCTTAAACCTGGAACCTAAACAGGGAACACCCTAATCCGCCTTGGTCCTTGAGCAAGGTCACCTACATTCAATGTCACTGCAACATGGGGTACGCTGGCAAGGAAATTGTCATACCTACTTGGCTAATGGCTCCCAGCAGGCAATGAATAAAACAAAAGTGAGTCTATTCCCAAGCTGTTTTAATTCTTTATATATACCTGTGTACACATATACATGAGCAGAGTAACAAGGGACTCTGTACTTTTCAACATACGTGGGGAAAAAAGGAGCACTACAAATTGAGCTCATATTTCTATTGAATAGTATCTTTAATTCAGTTTCTAGAGAAATAGGAAGTATAAACCTTCCTGAAACTGTCTACATATGGAAATATAAATATATACTTAAAATACCTATATATGTTAAAATAACATAATGATAATTTGAATTATTTTAACAAATAATATGAAACCCAGGAAAGGAGAAAAAGTAAGTATAACTGAGTGTGAAAGCATGAAATATGCAAGATATATGCTTATGATTAATTATCCTTTATATCCTTTAAGTCTAGGCCTGAAAATTTTTCAAGAAACACATGAATGGGTGCTGACAATTTTGTAACAAGCAAAGGTGAACAAGAAACTCAAAGGCGATGCAGAAATAGCAGCATTTCTGTCAATTGATTTGAAAATAGCAACAGCTTGAAAATGAGTTCACAGGTTATCAGAAGTTATCACTTCTAACACGAATTCTGAGCTAAAGGTTTCAGTGAGCTTTCAAACATTCTCTACAAAACTGAATGCTGGAGTTAAGTTATGAAAAATAAAGTGAGTTAGACAACTCATTTCACTGGTAACGATAACCTTGGCGTAGCACAATGGTTCATGACATTACAGGCCATGTACAATCCAGTTAGTGTTTTCACTAGCTGGAAATCATGCCAGCATCTGCAAAGGAAATGTAAATGAAGGCTGGAAAGTTTTCCTTACCATGCATGGTTCATTCAGATAGTGAATATTTTTCTTACAAATTAAGCTACCTTTACCTACCTTTCTTTTTATACAGGAAAAAACTCCCAATTCTCAGATTTCTAGGGAATGATAGTTAGTCTCTCCATTGCATTTGAGAATGCTCCCCAAATGACTCAATCCCATTCAGGAGATCAAGAGATCATCAGGATAGGGAGAGATCAGAGCCTGCCTATCATTCATTAGAGAATGTCTGGAGGTATTTGCTCGATGACATGGATTACAGACCAAGGTTTGTCATTTATTAGCTATACGTGGTTGCACAGGACTCCACCTAAGCTCAATGAGTTCAAGCCTAACAAATATGACACACAGAAATGAGACATGATGCACATGATAATGTCTATTGAGCTAGACAAAACTCTTTAATGGATCATATTCTGGTCATCTTCATTTTCCCTTCATTTTTTTTAAAAAAAGTGTGCTACATAGGAACATTGTACTGAAATATGTAACTCAATTGTTTATAATTACCAAATACTTTCAGATACATTGTATCTTTGGATTAATTCTCAAACAATGAAGGCATGAAAGTATGAGAAGTTCATTTTAAATGCATCGTATGTAAGAGAAAAGAGTAAATTTAAAACGCAAAATGATTTATTGAAACAAAACACCTGGAACCTCTACAACAAAGTAGATTAAGAATATATGTTACTTCTATTCCTGCTAAACACTCAAAATGAAGATAAAGAGTGCTAACAATAGAATTACTCAGTCTATAGCAATATTAGGAATGAGAAAGGGGAGTTTGTCAGGCCAAGGATTCCAGATTGTTCCTGGGAGGTCTAAAGTATACAGCAGAGGAGTTTCAGTCTACAGCAAAGGAAAACCTTCCATTAAACTCGGGAGTCACTCATTCTATTATCAGAAAAAGGATTCTCAAATCTCAAAGTTACAGGTTGACAGAATGTGAATAGGGGTTATGTAGAAATCAAGAAGGGGAACTGGTTCTGGTTCTTTTTTTTTTTTTTTTTTTTTAACAAGAGAGATGCTTAAATTACTGTCGCACCTCTTCTGAATTTTGAGGATAGCAGAATGTTTATCCTCAGGTCAAACTTGAGGACAGATCTCTAAAGAAATGGAAAGAAAAACTAAAATCTGCCTTGGAAGAACTAAAGCTACTGGTGTGGATATTGTCACGGAATAATGCTCTTCTTAATTATGAGTGAGTGTTATTGAAATGTAGTCTTATTTCCAAGTTCCCACTAATAAGCTGACTGAGAAGTGCAGCAATCACACTAAAAATGTCCACTGCTAAAGCAGGTCTAGACCAGCAGTCACCCCAACGGCCACCCACATACACTATAGTATTGTTTCAAAGTACAAACCTGATTCTTGAAATAAAAATGAACCAAAAGACAATGATGATTAAAAAAGAAGAAGAAGAAGAAGAACAGTTATGCTTAACAAATGATAATTTGGAGTTCATAATGGAACATAAAATTAGTATTTTGAGAAAGAATTTCAATAAGAATACACGCTTTTTATGTAAATAAGTAGTTTATATAATTCTACTTCTGGGAAGAATGTGGGGGGTTTGAACTTTCACTATAAATGGCTAGAAACTAAATAAAATATATGAAATTATATTTTACAGATTTTTGGATATCATGCACAGCAAAACAGTGATCACTGCAAAAAGGAAAATGAATGGAAACTTAACCTTGCCTGAGTGTTGTACCTGGAGATAACTTCTTGACCAAGACACCAGTAGGTTGCACAGCAGAGTATGGTGAGCTCCCTTAGAAAAGGTCCAGACAGAACACAGTTCAGAGTGGATCAGTTTTCTAGGGTTTGAAGAATGAAGCTGCAAAGAAAAATAGAAATAGACTGATAATGAACTCCATAAATCTGCAGACAATCACACTGAAACTTTATCTGAATACTTAGTTCTATAGAGCAAAAGCAAAAGCTGTAAATTGAACAAATTTCATAGAGGTCTAGGAGACAGTCAGAATCTTAACCAAAAAATGTGTTAGGAATTAAAATCTATTTAAATATTAACACTAAAAGAGATTGTGGAGTCCCAGAAGTATGAGGGTTGGATGTGTCCTACAGTAAAGACCACATTCAGCTTGCCCTAACAAATTTTATAAACAAGCTTTTAGGCACAACCAGAACCAAACTATAGCTCTCACAAACTTCTTTTAAAAGAAGAAAAGAGAGTCCAAACATTCAAAAATGTTACAGTCGAAACATCCCATGCACAACAAAAATTTACTAAATCTGTGAAATTCATAAGCAGGAAAAAAATAAGTGAACATAAAAAGAACCATAAATGACAGATGAAGTAAAAATATTTGACAATCACTTCAAGAAACAGGCTTCAGGATTTCAATAAATACATGAAGGTAAAATCATAGACATGGAAGATACAAATAAAGTAACAAATGAGAATAGTAACTGAAAAAAAATAGTGTCTAAAGTGAAAAAAATACAATGAATACAATTAAACAGCAGATTAGACACCATCAAGGAAAATATTAGTAAGATTTAAAATGGCAGTAGGAATCTAAGATGAAGCACACAAAATTTTTTTTAAATTTTAACAGAGAATTAGTCAATTGTATTACAATACAGTGTGATTAAATATCAGGTAGCAGAAACTTATTTGAAGACATACGATCCACCTTATTCCAAATGTGATAAAAAACTATAAATTCCATTATGTGAGAACATCAACAACGTCGGGGCAGGGGGGACTCCAAAGAATACAGAATTAAACTGTTGAAAAATAACAATTTTCAAAAGACCAAAGCAAACAGGAAAAAGAAAAAGAAGACAATTCAGAGCCAATAAAAGAAAAGAACAATGAAAACAGACTTGTCATCATAAAAGAAAACATTTGCCAGAAGGCATTGGAACAAAACCTTTAACCAGTGAAAATATCTTTCAAAAAACAGGTCAAGAGAAAAAAGCATTCAGAAAAACAGTCTAAGAAGATGTATCACCAGCAGACCCACACTTCAACTTGTAAGGAAAAATTTTCAAGCATAAGAAACTGATACAGATGGGGAAAGGCATCTATAGAAAGGAATGGATAATGCCATAAATGTTGACTATGTCAGTAAGCATTAAAGACCATTTCATTAAAAAAAATTCTTTAAAAGTGAATTATTGAAAGTGAAAACAATAACATTATAATTAGGCATTTAACACATTTTTGGACATAAAATTCATAATGTAAAAAGACGAAAGGTGGGAGGAAGGATGTGGCAATAAGTGGCAGAGTTCTTACATTACACAGGAAGCCCTACTAACTGAAATAAGATAAAGTTAAAAATGCACATACAACTAAAAATCCTTGGAAATGTAGATAAGACACAGAGGACAGCTAAAAGTGAGAAGACACACTAGCTTTTAATAGGGAATAACAGGGCAGTGAGTCCCCTGGGTTTTTATTTTTGCCTTTTTTAAGGAAGAGTTCTAAAACCCCCTCTGAGTGACGTCAGACAAGGCTGTGGGAAGCCAGAAGGTTCAACCCTGCTGGATTGACACAATCTCCAGAAGAGTCAGCATCTCTGCTCTCCCCCAGTGGCAACTAGGAGTCCTCCTAAAGTTATTGACCTTCGTTTTGTCCCGTAGCACACATTTAAAAGCATCAATTATATTGCCCCCTGTATGAATCCAACTGCCATCTATAGCATTATGTCTTAAAAACATTATATAACCAAATATATACTGGTAAATAGTGTTTAATTTTTGTAATCAAATTTTCTTTTTGATTGACATATTTGTACTTCTAATACATATATAGAATGTGTAATGACTAAATCAAAGTGATTAGCATTTCTAGCTCCCCCAGTACTAGTATATCTATGTATTGGGAGCTTTCAAATTCTTCTTCTGTAGTTATTTTGAAACATATAATTAATTGCAATAGACTATATATAGTTCACCTATTATGCTATGGAACATTACAATTAAGCTTTGGTATCCATTATTTGGCATCTTAAGCTTGCTCTCCCCTAGCTTCCTAGACTCTAAAAACCCCTATTCAACTCTCTGTTACTGTGATCATTTTCCCTAGCTTCCACAAATTATTGAGAACCTGCAGTATGTATCTCTGTGCCTGGCTAATTTCATCTAGTACAAAACCCTCCAGTTTCAGTCATGTTGCTACAAATGACAGGATTCCATCATTTTATATGGGTGAATAATATTCCACTTGGCATGTATACATTTTTATCTACTCATTAATTGACAGACATCTCAGTTGATTCTATACCATTTCTATTTTAACTAATGCTGCAATAAACATGAACATGCAAGTATCTCTTTGATATAATAATTTAATTTCAGGTACTATGAGGTCTCAAGCTTCATTCATTTTGATCAGGATTGCTTTAGTTTTCTGAGTCTTTGGTTCTTCGTAAGAATTTTGTGATTTTTTTCATAGTTCTTTGAAGAATGTTTATTCATATTTTGATGAGGATTACATTGGGTAAGGCATAAAATACCTCTTCTTATTTATATTTCACAAGGTTAGCATTTTAAATTTTGACATATTGTGAAAGTTGAAGGTAAGATGGTAGAAGATGGAGAAACAAAAGTGGAAGAAAATTGGTGGAAAAGTGGAATAAATTTTTTGCTATTAAAATTGTCAAAGTATCTGATAAAACAAAACTAAATAAGAGGAATAACTATATGGAAATTTGGCAAAGAAAGAATAGAAAAGATATAAAGAAGTCTATACTAACTTATCTTTCCCCAAGTCATAAATAAATAAATAACTACTTACAAATATATTACCTAGAGCTGTGGAAGTACCAACAGAACAAATAATTGCTTTAAATTACCTCTGGAAACACACCCTAGATTTGAGATAGAGAAAAAAATTTTTTTTGTTATGCTTCTATGGTATAGGGAGTAATCTACCTCTCTATCTGTGGAAGACCACAACTTAGCAGTTAATAGAGGCTACTCCTTAGACTAAGATAAGGTTTTTCCTTAAACAAAAGAAAGGAGCATGGTTTTCCAGTATCTAATAGTAGTAAGGCAAGATTAAAACCAAAACTTGCAACAGATTATGCAACTCTAGTACTTTTCTTTAAGTTTATATTATTGCTGATTTTCTCCTTATTTGATTGATAGTCTATGACACTGATTTTTTTTTTTTGGGGGGGGGGAAATCAGTAGCAACTTACTACTTTCAAATGACAGATAAATGAATGGAAAGCCCTATAAAATTCACATTCATGTGTCAAAAGAAGCAGCCTTCACATTGCAGACTATTTCTACATAGAGATGTGTATATGTGCATGTAGGAACAGGTATTTACACAGTTCTAGAAATAGTCTGGTTACACATTTAGAAACTTGAAGTCTGCATTTACTTTTCAAGACTTGATTCAATTATAAGTGATGCCAATTTAATTTTATAAAGAGTGAAAAATGTAATAAATATTATCAGATACTTAGTTGTTGGATGTTGCAGAGGAAAAAAAACAATATCCATATGGTTCATGGCATATTTTATGTTTCTTGCTGTTGGTTTTCAACTATATAACCAAAGTTTTTTGCATATAGACTTGGTAATCAATTAAACTCAGATATATTCCAGTCGGGCTTGCTTTGTGTCAATACAATTAATTTTTTTTCTGTTTCCTAACTGAGCATTTTTCCTTGAGCCAAATCACCATCATCAATAGTGTCCATGAGGCTTTCATTATATTGACATAAGAAAGAGAAATCAAGCAGCAGAGTGGGCAGCGGGCACACAGAAGCTGTGATTCAACTCTTCCATTGTCCAATTTAAATGCAGCACTTTCTGAGTAAATAGCATGTTGTCTGGGGCTTCCATTACTGTACGTTTGAGAGTGACGGATGATTTAACAAGCTGGTTTGTGTTCAACAGCTCACAGAGTGAAATGTGCTATGTTTTGCGGTGAGTGGTCGAAGGGTTTAGAATTCATCTCACTTGAAAATACTTTGTGACCAGTTGTCCGGTTAGTTTTCTTGTAGGCACTTTTTGTTGAACTAATCTCCTATATTTTGTTCACACCATGCATAATCAGTCATGCTGATTCCTACAGCTGCTGTAACAAAACCCCACTAACTTGGAAGCTTAAAATGACAGGAATCTATTAATCTATACTTTCACAGTTCTGGAGACTAGAAATCAAAAAAACAGGGTTTCATCAGGGCCCTATTCTCTATGCAGGGTCTAGGGGAAAATCTGTTTCATGTACCTCCCTTGGCTTTGATATTTCCAAAAATCCTTGAAAATCCTTGGCCTTCAACTGCTTCATTCCAATTTCTGCCTCTGTCATTTCATAGCCAACTTCTCTCTCTAGCTTTCTGTCTTTGTGTCTCTTTTATTCTTCAAAGGGCAGCAATCCTATTGGATTAAGGGTCTACCCTATTCCTGTATGATTCAAATTTAATTAAATGTATCTTTATCAATCCTGTTATAATTAAAGCCACATTCTGAGAGACTGAGAGATGACTTTAACATGTCTTTTGAGGAACAATATGTAGCCTATAACAGATATCCAGGAAGAGTATATCTGATAATATCCCACCAAGACCACCATAAAATAATTCCAGCTTGTCTACATTTTCCTCAAAGTCATCCAGATAAGCTACACTTTACATATCCATGAGATGATTTAGAAAAACATATGTATGTGTGGCTATATGAAAATACATGTACCATCAGTGTTCGAGGATTATTACCGATAATTGTATTATTACTGATAATTATATTATATTATTACCGATAATTATATTTGCTGTTCTACGTATGATATAGTTCCATCATCTTCTAGGAAAATATGGGTCACCCTGTTTTGTGGTTATAATGAGG